ACAGTGCACCTAGCACTGGACCTAGGACAGACCTAATGGCTGCTTCCTGTCTGTATGGAGTCTGGGACGCAAGCTAAATAACCTCACAAGAAAGAACCGGCAAAATGCAGATGGTGGGGTGTTATACCAGAAAAATGCCATGGTTTCTTCAACATAGATGGGAAACAGATTGTGGATTTTAAAAGGCTTGAAATACAGTGGTGCTTCACTCCATGAACTCAATTCCCTGCAGTTCTAGTCTCAAACCAAACTGGAAGAGAACAGAACCAAACTTCCCCATAAGGTCCACATAGAGCCTAACTGTTAAATTTGCTTTGGTTCCCATCCAACTTGGCTTTCCATCAAAATCATGGAAAGAATCAAGTTTGTTAACAAAGGCACCACTCCACCCTGCCTTGAGGGTACAATTTGATAATGTATTTTTTTTAATTTAATTTTTGATCCATACTGTAGGGATCCGTTGGTTTTAATATGATTGGTTTTACTCTGAGAGAAACAGTGGCAGGAATGAAGAAAAGATAGACAAGAAGACAAAAGTTGGCCTAGGTGGTGGCTGGTCTCTCTGGTTGGCCAGAACTCACCAGAAAAACAAAATGGACCTTTATTTATAGGTTTGTAAAGTCAGTAACACTGACACGAGGTTGTCTAGCGACTAATACCCAACCTTAACCAGACAGGATGTTTATCTCAGGACTGAGGTAGCTTATTTGTGTTAGGAACTGAGGCCTAGTCCCACCTACACACCTTTGAGGGATTTTCCAGCTTCCGAGGCTCCCAACATAGCTTCCTTTTTGTTTTGTTTTGTCAGAAATTATTGTTTTCTTGTAGTTAGAGAAACTATATTTGGAGAAATTTTCAGAGGACCTTTTCATATTTGATGTGAGTCTAAGGATTTTAGGTATTCGAATTTAGCAATATAATTCTATATAGTCTAATAGTCTATAATAGTAGAGAGTTATCAGTATAGCTAGTAATTGTTAGAAGTTGTTAGCTTGAGCCTTTTATAGCTTAGCATATTAATATGGCATTATTTTTTATATCTCATGATTATATTTTTGTTGGAAGGTTAAGACTAAGTTAAAGCAAGACTTGTATAAATATATATTTAACTTTTGTTATCTGACAAGGTTAGTTAAAATTTTTGAAGATTTATCATGGAACCATGTATAGCACCTCTTAGATCTTTTGTTAGTGTTAGTCATCTGGATAAATTATGGCTATTGTTTGACCAATTTGTTGTGAAAGCCTGACAGGTTTTTTTAGGGGGTGGGGCTAGGTATTTGAGAGAAAGTATTATTATAATAAGCAATCTTTGTTTCACATTTTAGAAGACCTGAATATTTGGAATCATAATTATACTTAAGACACCATGAGATTAACAATAAAGAGTTATCATATACATATGTAAACCTTTGCTTCAGTTTTTAATATATTCAAAAAGTTGAGCAACTATAATTACTTACTATCTTCTGCCAGAATGTTGAAAAGAAATATGTTTCCTCCTTAGAAGTCTCTGTAATTAAAATTTCTAAAAAGTATACAGAAAGGAGGACTGCAGACCTCAAGCCCCGCCTGGGAACTTAGTGATTTAGTGAGATCCTGTCTCAAAAAATAGAAAGAGTTTGTGATATAGCTTAGTATGAGGGCTGTAGCATCAAGACCCAGTTCTGGAAAAAAAAAATGTAAGTTTGCCATCAAAGTACACCCCCTTCATCTTGGAAAACAAAAAGAATCCTTTTTATGACTGGTAGAATGTTGATGTCCGGTGGTCATGACTTTTTATTTCTAGTGGGTATCTTTATTTTTATTTATTTATTTATTTATTTCTTGCAGAACCGGGGATTGAACTCAGGCCCTTATGCTTGCCAGGCAAGCGCTTATTCTACTCAGCCATCACCCCAACCCCTATTGGGTATCTTTATATATGACCTGAAAATACTGATAGTTACCAACTGCTTGGAAGCTAAAGATTTTTAGCATGGCTATATTGCTTTGCAAATTATTTTTTAAAAATTACGAAACTTTTTTTGCTTTAAAATTGCCTTTATTGGCCAGGCATGGTGGTGGTGTGTGGGAGACCAATTCTTGGCCTCATACTACAGACTGCTGCATTTGATCTGTTGTCTTGTGACCTTCCCAGAGCTAAGTTTCTGTTTCCCCTCTGAGCCATTTCCCAGAAGTCACATGCCTGATCTCCATTCTAGAGACCACCCCCCAGTGCCTAGCGACCTGATGACGTATAATCACTCCCTCTTCTTCCCCGCTTCCTATAAATTCTCTGAGACTTCCTTGAATAAACGAGGCTTGATCAGAACCTTTGTTTTGCCTCCATTTCTCGTGTCTCCTGTCCCTATTTCATCCCCACTCCCCTTCCAGGGTCCTCGTTGACTAACCCGCGGGTCGGGTTAGTGGTGCACACTCATAGTCTCACAACTCGGGAGGCTACATAGTGAAAAGCCAGCCTGAACTACACAGTGAGACCTAGTCTAGAATCAACTAAAATAAAATTGCCTTTATCACAAATTTTAAAATCTAGAGAAGTCTTTTTCCCCATGCAAAGACTTCATAAATATGGATAGAATAGCAAGTTTTTATTTTCAAAGGTCATGTTGGAAATGGTCAAAGATGATCCCCAGAGGCATTTGTCCTTTATGTAGGAATCAGTGAAATCTTAAATCTTTTTCACCAGCGTTGGTAAGGTCACTTCAAGGTCCAGCGTTTATAGTTTAAATCTTTCCACATAACCGGAAGAAGTAAAATTTTTAAGGCCTAACAAGGGATGGCAACTGTCCAGAGATTACTCTCCCGGATGGATTTGTGGGTATTCAGTATCACCTGAGGGCCCGCACATCTGTCCACTCCCCTTTTGTGTTTAGGGCTTATTCTGTTTTCATCGCAAGGCTTATTGGAAACTGTTCTGAATATAGTATATTATAGGAATGTGGAGAGTAAAATCTAAATGCACTGACTCATATGTGACTGAAGTGTGGATGAAAGTGCCTAATCAGTGCTCAGGAACCGTGACGCCCCAGAAAACTTCATAAATGAAGTCAAGAAAGTCAGGCTGCACGATGGAGTCAGGCTGGCTGCGGCGCAGAGTAAGCCCACGGGGCTGGACTTGTAGGTTATTCACAAGCGCAGCCGATCCATTCTGACCAGCAGCCACCTCAGGGTACAGTTTACTGTCAGATTGGCATGTGAGCTCGGGAAGCATGAGGCGCCCTCCTATCACCCAGAGCTCATCACTGCTCAGACCTCACCCCAAAGGATCACAGAAGTAGGAAATGCGTTCTGCAAATTATTTAAGCCAAAGCTTAATAATTAAACGCACTTGGCAGTTCGTGTATATAATTATTTAATTTTCCTTGTTAGCCTTTAATGTAAATGTAAATCAAGAGAAAAACTTTTTTTTTAAGAGAAAAAACTTAAATCTAAAAGCAGGTTGACGAAAACCAAATTATCTATTTTCACTGGAAAACATGTCGTGTCTCATTACCAGGCCAGTGTCCTGACAATGAATTGTAAGCGCCAGTGTTTCTTCGCCCACGGCTTAGGCAACTGGAGAGCGTGGGCTCAGATTGAAAACATCCTGGCTTGGGGCTGAGATCTTCGCTGGCGGACACAGCGCTGTGCAGTAGGGGGCGCCATCGGAGAGAACGTGGGCGCCTCGGAGCGCTACTGGGGAGGCGAGGCGGGCCGCCGGGGGCGCTCGTCTGTTGGCAGAAAACCCAAGCTCAGGTAGCGCCTCTGCTGGGAACTTAGTCTGAGGACACCCATTCTTCAAATGGGCAGAAATACACCCCATGGGGGGGGGGGGGGGGCTGGGATTTCAAGCGTGTGTGTGTGTGTGTGTGTGTGTGTGTGTTTACTGGGAGCCCGGACTGCTTTTCTCCTACCACGTCTATTCAGTGTGTCCCCTTCTCCACTCTCCCCCGCTTTGACAGGTGTGGGGAGCTGAACCTAAGGTCTTTTCACTGAGTTCAATACCCAGCCTTTCTTTCATTTTGAGACATGGTGCCAAATCAAAGAAGTCCCCAGGCTGGGCTCGAACATGTGTCCTCCTGTTTTTTGTCCTGCTTCAGCCTGAGTTCTGGTATCACAGGCCTTGTACACCACGCCCAGCTCCCCTCTTCTGTTCCACGATCCTCTCCCTAAACTCCCCTAGCACACCCATCTCACCCATCACCCTCTTCTCAGCCCCTAAAACCAACTCCCTGCACCTCTCCCCACATCTCCCCTCTTCTCCTCCCACCCTTCTCTCATCTCAGTCCAGCTCAGTCCTGCCCTGCTACCAGGTCCCTTCCTGGGCTCCTGGGCTGAGAAGTGGAGCCACCTTCCCCCAGGTCACAAAAAGCAGAGGAAGCAGCTCAGAGATAAGGATTCACAGGAGTCTCTTGCTCTTAGGAAAACCCATTTCTTAGGGAAAGGGGTATCTCATGGTGTGCTCACCTCCGCCTTCCCTTCCTCCAAAACAGCCTGGGAAGCACAGACCACATGCACAAATACATCACCCAGCCCAGGTGAGCAGGCAGTCACACAATCTGGAATTTCAGGTTTATAGTCACCTGGGGGTCAGGGAACTCATAAAATCATTTTCCCCACTTTGCCTGCTGGGTCTGTTGTCCTCTGCTTTGGGGCACCCTTCCTCCCTCCCTCTTTGAGGACTGGCCTAAGGAGGGACCTAGGCATATATAGGCAGCCACTGAGAGTGGGGCTGGCCAGAGAGGTTTTGGGCAGAGAAGGTGAGGAGGGGGCTCTGGGAGTCTGGGAGGAGCGGAGACTGCAGGCAGGCCAGCCTGAGTGCCGGTCAGGGCTGCTGGGGCTGAGCCTAGGTCCCCTGCTGTGAAAGGGGTCACTGCCAGGGTGTGGGGCACTGGGCACTTTGCAGAGAGCAGAGCATCCCTGGCAGCTAGGCTGTGGAGTAGAGACTGAGATCTAACTGGGTCTTCCCTCCTCTTCCTGTCTCTGCCTGGCTTCACCCCCACTCATCTGTACCAAGCAGGACTATGGCACCTGCAGCAGCAGCAGCAGCAGCAGCAGCAGCAGCAGTGGGAGAGAAGGGATCTCCAGTTGTGGTGGGGCTGCTGGTCATAGGCAACATCATTATTCTGGTGAGACACTCGGCGCTGGGGAAGTCCCTTCGGGGTGTGCTGGGAGGTGGCAGCTCTGAGCTGGGGTGGGCACTGAGGGCCTGGTACTCTAGTGGGTTCTTGGCAGTCAGTCTCAAGGCAGAACACCCTGGTTTACTCCTAGTTCGACCTTTCACCAACTAGGTGACTTTAAGGGAGAACCTGACTTCTGTGTGCCTCTTTTCTCCTCTGTAGAATATGTCCTCATTGTGTGCAGGTGGATGCTGGCTATCATTAATATAGATATATAATATAGATACATATATCATTAATGTAGAGTGATGGGTGGGCACACAAGAGGCCCGCAGTGATGAATAAGTGTCTTGTAATGAATATTGGCTTTAAAACTATGCGGGCTCGCTTTGGTAGAACACTTGTAATCCCAGCTACTCGGAAGACTGAATCATGAGTGTTGAAAATTTGAGCCCAGCCTTGGCAACTTGGGGAGACCCTGTCTCAAAATAAAAGCTTAAAAAGGATGGAGATATATATCTCTTCTGGTAAAATATCCAGTTTGATCCCTAGTCATGCAAGACAGACAGACACTGTTTGTACCGGGCCCTGGAGCCAGGTAGCCTGGGCTCAAATCCCAACCTTTCTAGTCATGGGACCTGGAGCAGGTGACATAACCTCTCTGGACCTCAGTTTTCTCCTCTGTAAGATGGAGATGAAATGGATAAGCTGTGAGGACAGGATGAGTCCTTGGGTTATTGTGCTTGCGAGAGTCGGGCACACCCGCATCCTACTTCTACTGGCCAAGATAGCCTCATGCCACTACAACTTGATTGAGATCAACTTTATGTGTGAGATCAGCAATGATTCTCACACATAAAGCAGTTCCTCAGACCGCTGCTTGGCATGCAGCAGGTACTCCGAAACAAATGGTAGCTTAGGTTGTTGCCAAAGTTCTTCACAGAGAAGCCCTCCTTCCTGCTCGTTTCCCAGGGCCCACCAGATGAGTAACTGGATTTCTAGCTTCTCTGATATTTCTTTCAGAAAAACTGAAGCAAATCATGACACATATGCCTGTATTATCCACTTCCTTGCCCCACATGCAGCTTGTTCCTCATCCTGCTCCGTACTCCTAGTTTTCTCCTGCTCACGTAGCCACTAGGTCCATCTGAATGAGACCATCTCCCGACCTCTCGGGCAGCTGCATGGCACACCACTGAGTGACCTCTGGTCCCTTTATCATAGTGCTGCAGGGACAGGCCTTGGGGATTTGTGGTTTCCCTGCATGGGTCATGCAGCTGCACGATTGATTGCTGGAGGTGGACTTGCTAGAACAAAGGATGAAAGATGCATTTATCATTGTTGTGGCCAAAGCCATGAATTCCACTTCAGAGAGATTGCATCTCCTTGGTGCCCATCATGTACTCCGGGCTTTGCCTGTGGCATCTCTATTACCTTTTTTTTGGTTTGTTTTTCCTGTACTGGGGCTTTCATCCAGGGCCTTCATGAGCTAAATCCTTAGCCCTTTGTTTGTTTGTTGTTGCTGTTTGTTTATTTTTTAAGACAGGGTCTCACTATGTAATTCACGCTCACTTTGAATTCACTGTGTAACTAAGGCTGGCCTCAAACTCACTGCAGTCTTCCTGCCTCAGCCTCCTGAGGGTCGGGATTATAGGCATGTGCCATGACAGCCAGCTATTTAGTTTTAGTTTCAGTTTTAAATCAGAATCTCACTTAGTTGGGTAGGCTGGGCTCGAACTTTCAATCTTTTGCTTTGGCCTCCAGAGTTCTAGGGTTACAGGCATGCACCACCATGCCCAGCTCCTTTCTCCTGATGAATCAACTGACAACTTGGATGTAAGGGTCAGGGCTCTAGCCGGATCCTTTCTCTCCCCTTGTTTTCTGCCAAGCCTAGCAAGGGGGACAAGAGCTGTGCCATTCATTACATGCCCACTTTATGAGTGGGCCACTCTGAGAGGACAGTGGAGGCCCAGAAGAGGGAAGGAACCGTTTCTAACCAGCTGCTCCATCTAGCTATCAGGCCTGGCCCTGTTTGCCGAGACAGTATGGGTGACAGCCGACCAGTACCGTGTATACCCGCTGATGGGCGTCTCAGGCAAGGATGACGTCTTCGCTGGCGCTTGGATTGCCATCTTCTGCGGCTTCTCCTTCTTCGTGGTGGCCAGCTTCGGTGTGGGAGCAGCGCTCTGCTGCCGCCGGTCCATGATCCTCACAGTGAGACCCCCCAGAGGGGGATGGGTGGGGATGGGTGGCCGGGACAGCGCTGCCACAGTCACGGTACCAGCTACCCAGGCACGGGCAGCTACCCACATGGCACCTCCCTCAGGCCTCACAGGCATCACTTCGTGTCATTGTCCTGTGGTCCTGTAGCTCACGCTCAGGCATTACCCCCTTGTACAAAGGAAACAGATTTGGGTGATGGAGGGAAGTGCTGCACAGCAAGACAGCTCAAGCAGCAGGGCTAAGGGTTGAACCCCAATTAGCTGGTCTCCTCAGTGTGTGCTCATGAGTCTTGGCCAGTAGGACACAGCTGCAGCTACCCCTTAATAGGTCCCACCCACGGGCCAGGAGTCAGATGGCTTGCATGGATTTGCCCCTCGCTGCCTGCCATGAGGAACTGTGGTCACTGTCATCCACATGACCCCATTTGGCAGAGATAGAAACCAAGGCTCAGAGAGGTGACGTCACACCAGCAGCAAATGGCACAGCCAGTTTAAACTGAGCAGCAGAACATAGTGGTGCACACCTGTAACCCCAGTACTGGGGAGGCTGAGGCAAGAGGATCGCTGTAAGTTCAAGGCCAGCCCAGGCTCCATGGTGAGACCTTGTCTCACAAAACCACCACTGCAAAAACAAAATTGAACTTGAACAGTTCCACTTTTGAGCCCATGCTCTTAATCTCTGCCAACCCATACATATCAATAACTTTAGAAAGTGAGCTTCCTTGGTCCTCCCAGAACCCTCTGCAATTAGTACTTTTTGACCCATTTACCAAATGGAGAAAGTGAGGCTAAGAGAAACCAATGGCCTCTCCCAGGTGGTTGGCAGAGCAGGGAAGCCGGTGCAGCCTCTTCAGACACAAAGGCCATGCTGTGTTTCTCTACAGGAGGTAGGGGTAGGGGGCCTTTCAGACTCCCCACACTACTCATTCAGTGAGCAAATGTTGATTGAGCAGGAAACATGAGCCAAGCCCCCTCCCACCCCCAGGCTTTGACACATGAGTATAGGAAGGGAGGTAGGAGTGAGGGAGACCCAGAGCCCTGGCCAGAGGAAGCAGCAGCCCTGGTGATGAGTGAGCCAGGCACCTCTCTACACCAGTGGAACAGTTCAGGACAGGGCATCAGCCAGAGCAAAGGCCTTGAGACCAGAGGGACCAGGAGCCCAGCATGGCTACAGTGGGGTGAGGAGGAGATGAGGGAGTGGGAGGAACTGAGAGCAGACAAGTGGGGAGAACACAGAGGGGAGGAAAAGGGGAGAAGGGGGACAAGCTAGGTGGCTAACCTGGTGGGCCTTACAGGACTTGGCAGTAGCCTAAGGAAAATGGAGCTATGGAACCAGGCGTGGCGTGCACACCTGCAATCCTAGCACTCCGGGAGGCTGAGGCAGGAGGATCCACACACTGGAGCCCAGCTTGGGCAACTTACTGACTTAGCAAGACCTGACCTCAAAATTTAAAATAAGTAAACAGAGCTGTGATGTAGCAGTGCAAAGGTTTTGGTTTTAATCCCCAGTGCCACCACCAGCACCAAAAAAATAACATAAAGATGAAAGAAAGACAAAAAAAAGAAAGAAAGAGAAAGAGAAAGGTAGCTATGAAAAGGGTCCTCTTTCCCCACCTTCTTCCCTTTTCTCTCCTTCTCTTTTCTTTCTTTCCTTTTTATATTTCTTATCCTTTTTTGGGGACAGGGTCTCCTACATAGTTTAGGGGCCAGGGAGATAGCTCAGTAGAACAAGCACTTGCCTGGCTAGCGCAGGGTCCTGAGTTCAGTCCTTAATACTGAAATTAAAAAAAAAACAAACATAGTTTAAGCTGACCTTGAACTCACTATGCAACTCAGGCTGGGCTCAAACTCACAGCAATCCTCCTGCCCCAGCTTCCCAAGCACTGGCTGCATTTAATTTTCAGGTATAAAGATTTAACCAGGGACCGGGGAGATGGCTCAGTAGAATAAGGGCTTGCCTGGCAAGCGCAAGGGTCTGAATTCAATCTCCATTTCCGCCAAAAAAAAAAAAAAACAATTTTTTAAACTACATTTCACCTAACTAGTTTTAAAAAAAAATGCATGCCTGGCTCCCCTATAAGTTTATCATTAACAAAGACGCAGAATATTTTTAAAAATTATTATGGGAAATGCAAAACATAAAGCAGAGTGAGCTGCATTTGGAACCCAGTGTGCCAGTCAGCAGGTCTCAACTCAGTGCACCACCCCTCTGCCCAGCCACATTCTTCCTGAGGCACATTCGAGATAGTGAGTCCTCTGCCCCTCAATACTAGAGCACACATTTCTCTGCGCACTAAGGACATCGTGTGAACGCAGCCGGCCGTTTTACATAACACAGCCCCATCTCTCAGGCGAGCACTCTCGCCCACACCCAAGCTCCTGTTGCAGTAAGGGTGAAGGTGAGGGTGAGGGGACAGGGAAAGAATTTTCGTGAGAGAACAACTATGGAGCCTTGTTTAGTCCTCCATACCAAGGACGTATCTGGCAAAATTCACCCTAGTTCCTTCGTATCTACCAATCCTACCGGGTATGGTGGCGCATCCCTGTAATCCTGGCACTCGGCAAGCTGAGGCAGAAGGATCATTGCAAATTCAAGGCCAGCCTGGGCTACAAAATGAGTTCAAGGACAACCTGAGCTGCCATAGCAAGACCCTGTCTCAAAAGGATGAAAACAGAACAAAACCTATCTACCGGTCCCCCCATCTGTGTCTCAGTGCAGCAGTTGATATCGATCATCTCATTCGCCTCTCCTCCCCTGATGGGTTCTGGCGGTTTAGTATGAATTGCTAAAATCATTATGGTGGTCATCTAATAGGGCCGAAGCCCTTAAACAAAGCCCATCTTCCCCAAGACCACTCCCCCTTCTTCTCCAATTAAGCCCAGGACATAATTTACTTCCACCCTTCCCACTGCCTCAGGGAAGACCACAATCAGTTTCTCAGGTATATCTAAACATCCCCTTCAAACCCCTCCCCTGGTAAAAGGTCATAAAAGCCTCAGCCTCCCTTTGTCTAGTCAAGAGAGAAAATTCCTCATCCTTCCCCACATTCTCTCCCGTGTCCTCAGACAAAATAAAGCCCCTTTCCCTTCTTCCTTCTGCCTGTTTCTGTGCTGCACCAGTCACCTGCAAACACCTACCACCCTCTCTCCTCTCCCCGGCTCCCCAACCCAGTTGTGATCTTTATCTCTTAACATTTTATTATAAAATATTTCAGACATCCGGAAAAGCTGGGTGACTTAACCTGTCACCCAGAAGTGACCATTTACAATGCCTACACCCGAGGCAAAAAGCCTATTTTCTGCTCCTGCCAACATATCCCATTTCTTCTCCCCGCCGTGGCTCCATTTCTCAGTGGGATGTGGCCACACGCATGGCGTCCTGACTGCTGTCCCTCCCGTGTCTCTCCCCAGTACCTGGTGCTGATGCTCATCGTCTACATCTTCGAGTGCGCCTCTTGCATCACATCCTACACGCACCGCGATTACGTGAGCAGGCACACCGGAAGGGCGTGGGGGGAGGGGTCAGCCTCAGCACCCCTGCAGCCCTGCGGGCCTCTGCTCTTCCCAACCCCGGCAGATGGTGTCCAACCCATCCCTGATCACCAAGCAGATGCTGACCTTCTACAGTGCCAACACAGACCAGGGCCAGGAGCTGACCCGCCTTTGGGACCGCATCATGACTGAGGTGGGCACTGGGGCCTTGGTGCAGCTCAATGCCGCAGCGCTTGCCTGGCCTGTTCCAGGCCCTGGGTTGCACCTCCAGCACTGTACAGAAACAAAACAGGCAAACAAAAGACATGATTGAGGTGGGCATGGCTTCCGGGAGTGCCCGCGGCTCTGTCTGCCCACAGAGATGGACAGGGATCCCTCTAGGCCCACTCCTACATGAGGAACAGCGTGGAAGATGGCCACTCCTGGGTCCCTGTGCAGGGAGAGAATTTTGGTCACCACCATTTTCTGAGCGTGAACAGGCTCAGAAAGGGAAAGTCACCTGCCAAAGACCACATGATTGGTAAGTGGCAGAGCTAGATTTTGTACCTGGCATTCTAGACCCATACCACCCCATGGCAATAATGATAACAATAGCCATAACAGCACCCGTGCACTAAGCACTGTTGAGCACATTCGCAAAATTTATATAACTCACAACCGCGCCTTGAGGGAGATCAGCTTTTTATCCATAGGAAGCTGAGGCCAGAGGTTGCTGGCTGTTGTGGGGTCATATAGCTGATGCGTCCCAGAACTAGAAGGATCCAAACCCTGGCCACTGAGCTCCACACACCACATTCCTTTTTTTTTTTTTTTTTTGGTGGAACCAGGGTTTGAACTCAGGTCCTTGAGCTTGCCAGGGAAGTGCTTATTCCACTGAGCCATCTTCCTGGCCCAAACTTTTTTTTCTTTTTTGGTGGAACTGGGATTGAACTCAGGCCCTTGCACTTGCCAGAGAAGCCCTTATCCTACTGAGCCATCTCCTCCCCCGCCCCCACCACATTCTTAAATTCAATGCAATATGCATGAGAAGAGGAAGAAATTAAGGACGCAAGCAAACTGAGATCCCAACTCAATCAGTCACTCAGCTAGCCAAGAGCTAAACTGTGTTTGAAGAATGCCCAAGCCTGTTTTTGGTTTTTTGGGGGGTTTTGTTTGGGGGGGTTGTTGGGGTGTTGTTGTTTGTTTTGGTTTTGGTTTTGGTGTTAGGGATTGTGCACAGGGTCTTTACACTGAGTTACATCCCCAGCCCTTTTTATTTATCTTCAAAATTTTAACAGGGCCTCACTAAATTGCCCAGGCTGAGCTCTAACTTGAGATCCTCTTGCCTCAGCCTCCCAGAGTACCAGTAGTACAGGTGTGGACCAGCCTATATTTTTGTCATCCAGGGGCTACAAATTATACACCCATTTGGGAGTAGGAAAATGGAGATATCGGTCTTTTTGTTTCATTTTTGTCAGCAAAATAATTTTTTAAAAAGTTCAAGCCAAGCTAGGGAGACAGCTCAGTGGTCTAAGGGCCTGTCTGGCAAGCACAAGGACCTGGGCTTGATCCCCAGTACCACATGCTGTGCTGGCCCCATGCTAAGCTGGCCACCAAAACTGGGTATGGTGGTACAGTCCTGTAATCCCAGCACTGGAGGTGCTGAGATGGGAGGACCACTCCGAGTCTGAGCTGTGTAGCGAGAGCCTGTACCAAATAATAATAAATAAATAGATTTTTAAAGTCGCAAGTGTGGATTTGGTCCAAATCTCTCCTAGCTTACTGGTCCCCAGCAGGTTGGGTCCAGCTATGTCAAAGGCCGTCCCTGCCTCCGCTTGCTGGGCTGACCTTAGGTGTGAGACCATCCCCTCTACGCTGAGCCTTAGGCTGTCTTACTTTCACCTGTCTCCCCAGCAAGAGTGCTGCGGTACGTCTGGTCCCATGGACTGGGTGAACTACACATCAACCTTCCGGGCAGCCACTCCAGAGGTGGTGTTCCCCTGGCCCCCACTGTGCTGTCGCCGGACAGGAAACTTTATCCCCCTCAATGAAGAGGGCTGTCGAGTGGGCCACATGGACTACCTGTTCATCAAGGTACGCTCCTCACCTCTCCATCTTTCCCTTGTCTCTGCTCCCTCTCTGGTGCTCGCTCACTTTTTCTCTCCCACTGTCTGTCTGTCTGTCTGTCTGTCTGTCTGTCTCCCCCAGCCTTCTCTCCTCCCCCTCTGTCTCCCTCCTCTTCCCCTGCTCTCCCCACTCTTCTCGCCTGACCCATACCTGGCTCCTGCAACTTGTCCAGCCTGCCCAAAAATGACAGCAACAACCACAACAGCACAATGCCAGCAACAACCCACGTTTGATGAGCTTTTCCTTTACGCCACATGTTCTTTGCAGTGCTTTCCACTTTTAATCGTCATCACGATCTTATGCGGTAAGGATTGCAGTGCCCCCATTGTACAAATGAGAAAACTGAGGTGTCACTCACTAATTAAGCAGGAAGCTGGGATTTTATTTTGGACAGCCAGGCCCCAAAGAGTTCTTTAACTATGCAAGGCCTGCTCAGAATCAGGGAGAAGACTAAGAACGTAGCACGTTGGCAGGCAGAGACAGGAGGATTGAAAGTTTGATCAGTCTGAGCAACCTACTGAGACCCTGTCTCAAAATTTAAAAAATTGTTTTTAAGAAGGGCTGCAAATAAATTAATAAAGAAATTAGGGGCTGGGGAGATGGCTCAGTAGCATGAGTGCTTCCCTGGCAAGCGCAAGGGCCTGAGTTCAATTCCCGGTTCCGCCAAAAAAAAACAAAAACAAATAAGTAACAAGGGCTGAGGATGTAGCTCAGTGCAAGGGACCTGGGTTCAGTCCCAGTACTGACTAAAAGAAAAAGGGAGGGCAGTTAGGAAAAGAACTGGTCCCACCAGCCTCTCTGGCTGCTTCTGGTTGCTTGGAGGCCCTACAGTAGCACAACTTAGGTTAGTTGTCCTGCAAAGGGGGCAGCAAGCCATAGCCGTGCAGGAGAGGACCGTCACGCTCACGCCCGCCTCACCGCAGATCGCACCCTTGCGTCATCTCATGGGATCCTCACCACGCTCTCAGGATTGCCCCTTCACAGATGGGGAAGCTGAGACCCCGAGGGGCAGAGTCCTACTAGGCCCCACTGCCTAGGATGGCAGAGCTGGCCTCCAGCAGTCATCAGAGCACGAGCCCCAAGCCAGGGCAGGGGCTGCACAAAAGGCCCCATCTATAAATGAGCAGGGGTCAGAACCAAACTAAAGCCAAGGGTTAGTGGCAAACCCTTGCTCTTGGGTTCAGCATCACCTCCCAGGCCCCTGGAACTTCCCTGTGATGGAGACACTGCAGTGATCCCCCTTGCTCAGGTGGGGAAACTGAGGCTCAAGGAAAGAAGTGACATGCCCAGAGGTGCACAGTGACTGGCCTTTGACTGCCAGCCTGCCAGCCTCCTGGGCGTCTTCTCCAATCACAGCTCTCCTCACCCAGGGCTGCTTCGAGCACATTGGCCATGCCATCGACAGCTACACATGGGGAATCTCATGGTTCGGGTTTGCCATCTTGATGTGGACGGTAAGAGGTGGGAGCCTGTGGGACAAGAGGGGAGCAGGAAAGGGCTGGGCACCCCCGCCTCACTGCCTTCTCCCCAGCTGCCTGTGATGCTGATAGCTATGTATCTCTACACCACGCTCTGAGGGACGAGAGACAGAACCACACGTGCTCTACAGCCTCTGGGCCTCCTGCCTCCTCCCACTGGGCCTGCACCGCTGCTTCACCCCCTCCCTGCCCACCTCCCTCTTGGCCCTTCTGTGTCTAGGTCCCTAGACCCCACCTGGTCTCAGCTCCTCCCTGTCCCTCCCTGGGCTCCTTCTGTGTGTCAGGTGTTACCAGTGTTCCCAACTAGTTTGGGATTATCTGTCTAAGCTTTTGCAGACTGGGATTGCCATGCGAATAGGGACACATTCTGTCACAGTCACTTCTGTCCCCACCATCGCTCAGTACATGACTGAGCAAGGACTGGATGCTCAATAAATACAGACGGATTGAGAACGGATGGGTGAATTTGTTTTCTTCTGGGGCAAGGCTGAATGGACAAGAACATTCCCACTGGAGGTGGCAGAAGCCCACCGGACACTGGAATGGTCTGGTTCACATCACTGAGTGAGAAGCGTTGGGTTCAGGCATGTCTGGATCTGGAGTTCGGTCACCATGAGTCAGAGGCCAGCCTGGACAGCATCACGTGTTCAAGACCCATCGGAACTACATAGGAAGCCCTTTTCAGAAGCCAAATAGCAATGATGATGTTGTTCAAAAGACTGGGGGGACAATTAGAGAAACAAAACTAGTTTTTAATTTACCTATTTAAAAAATAATACTTTTAAGGGCTGGCAAAATAGCTCAGCAGACTAAGTGCCCGGTTAGGCAAGCTCAGGGACCAGGGTTCGATTCCCCACTCCATTCCAAACTCTAGGTTGCACTGAGCCGGCAACCAAGACTGGGCATGGTGGTGCACACTTGTAATTCCAGCACTGGTGAGGCTGAAAACAGAAGGACCACTTCAAGGCCAAGCTGCATAGTGAGACCCTGTACCAAATACATTTCAATAATAATAATAATGATAATAATAATAAATTTAGAAGTGGAAGCATTCCATATTCTATACCCCAGCATCTCCTCTCCCCACAACCTGTTCTAAATCATTAAATAATTGCTACTAAGACTAGATTTTTTTTTTTTTTTTGCGGGACCGGGGATTGAACTCAGGCCCTTATGCTTGCCAGGGAAGCACTTATTCCACTGAACCATCTCCGCGGCCTGACTAGATTTTTTTAAAAATGAATATAAATATCATTTTTGGCCTTCTAAAGGCATATATATATATATATATATTTTTTTTTTGTATTCCTATACACATAGATATAGATATAGATATATGTGTGTGTATGTGTGTGTGTTTAATGGAGTTATACTTAATACTGTTTTTCCTCTGGGAGACTGAAGCAGAAAGATCGAAAGTTCAAGCCTAGCCTGGACAGTTTAGCAATTTAGCAAAACCTTGTCTCAATTTAAAAAAAAAAAAAAAGAGCTTTTTTTCCCTTTTCTTAAAGAAGGCTTGGGGGCGTGACTCAGTGCAAAGCCCTTGAGATCAATTCCCACTTCCAAAGCCAAAACAAAGCAGAACAACACCAGTTGCTCTGCTGCTTGCTTCTCACCAGAGCTGTACTGTGATTCTTTTTCCAAGTCAATATCTGTGAATCAAAAAAAAAAAAAAAAATCTGTAAATCTACTCAAATGGTCACAATGTTTTCCAGAGTAAAGCTGTGTCACAGGACATCTTTTTTTTTTTTTGTCAAAATTTAAAAAACATAAAGAGCTGAACGTGGCAATGAAATGCTTTCATTCTGATAATAATTATACATCCATATCCCAGGCTTTCATGAGGAGTAGGGGAAAGAGGAGGAATTTTCATGCCATAGATAACAATGTAATGTTTGAAGCAATTTTTATAAAGATCTTTTCTTACTTTTCAAAACCAAAAACTGATAAAGAGATTACTAAAAAAACGAAAAATATATAGATTAACTTTACAAATCAGTTTGTATTTGGGTTTTTTTTTTTTTTTTTTTTTGGTATTTTTGTTTTAAACCACTTAGACATGATAAATATCATATAAGAACAAACAAAAGTCCTTGTAGGCTAACTGGCCTAACTGGCTTTTCTGAAGTCCCTGGAATAAAATTTGTTCCCCATCACTAGGCACATAGTTGACCAGCTGATAAGCATGTCAGAGAAACGTTCCCATCGCTACCTATTTTTTCAGAAAAGGTATGTCCCCCTCATGAGCAAGTTCACTGCTGCAGGCTGTGACTCAGATTCTCAAGAAGCAAAGAGGGGCTGGGGAGATGGCTCAGTAGAATAAGCGCTTGCCTGGCAAGAACAAGGGCCTGAGTTCAATTCCCAGTTCCACAAAAAAAAAAAAAAAAAAGAAGCAAAGAGGCAGCACCGCTTCCCGCCAGCCCCCACCACACTGAGCCTCAGTGTGTCCCTCTGTAAAATCGGGTTGTAGCAGTCCCTACTCACCCCGCGGGGACACCAGTTTCAGAGCTAAAGAAACACAAGACCTTTGCGTCATGGGTTTTCTCCACACCTCTGTTACTAGAACAAAATAAATTGCTTGTTGGGGCTGCAACTATCTTGTGGCCTACCCATTGGCCTACCCATTCTCAACATAGGGAAGTTGATTCATCAGAGTGACTCTTTCTTAGTTATTTGTCTTGCTGCTGAGATAAAATACCTGGTCGCCAAAGTTAAAGGAAAAAAGCTTTATTCAGCTCGCAGTTTGTAAACGTTTCAGTCCATTGCTGGCTGGCCCCAAGGCAGGGTGACATGCAGAAGGCATCACAGAGGAGAAACAGTTCCCGTCGGGCAGAAGGTAGCAATGCAAGCAAGGGCACAGCTCTCTCTCTTGTATCTTATTCAGTCTACTCAGGGAAGCAGCATTCACACCCTTCATTCCGGGAACCTTGATCAAGCCTTGAACCATGAACCAATTCCAGTATGACACTATAGGAGTCCCCTCCAGGTTCTCGCCTCCATCCAAGAAGTCAATATTTTTAATCCCAAAGATATGTTATTGGAATCCCACAAAGTATTCCAATCTACCACTCCCAGTGCAACCCATGGCGAAAGTAAAGACACTAAAACATATTTATAATTATTGGGGAGCCAAGGGGCCCTGAGTCCAGCCACGAAGATGGCTTTCTGGAACCAAGAAGCTGACCCAGGGCCGTACCCAGGTTTTATTCAGTGGAGGAGGAATGACTTGAGGAGGAATGACTGAGAATTGTGGGAAGTAGGTGAGTACTGTGAGCTGAGCTAGGTAGGTGGCCTATATTTACCTTTGCCAGATGCAATGAAAGTAATTTGCATTATTCTATTGAGATAGTATCTAAAATTTTGGGGGTCTGGTGCTTCAGCTATGATGTAATCTTTCAAGCTCCAGGAAGTCATAGCCTCTATATCGAGGCTAGATCCCAGCTGGCAGTGCAAAGCACTGGCTCTTTGTTCTGTCTGGACCCTGCTCACATTAGAGAGCAGCAGGCGTAGGTTACCAGGGAAATACACATACCACTTTCAAAGACTATCACCAGCACCTCAGCTAGACCAATATACATTGGGTAAGGCCAATTGAAGGATAAAGAGGAGTCCTAGCCAGCTCTCTACATATAATTACAAGGAAATAGGGTCAGACTCAGCCAAAATGGAGACAGTCACTCTTTTTTCAAGGACAGCTGCTCAGGTAGCCCTCCACATGACACACCCTAGATCCAGCCACCTCTGGAAAAGCACCACCGTGACTGTATGAGACTTTGGGAGGACATCCAATCACAATCCATAACAGACACAAATATTTTCACTTTTTCAAATTAATTTTTATTGTTATGTTTTTGCAATACATAAAGATCAGATTCATCATAGAGAATTGGTACCTGTACATAATATGTCTTAATCCTTTTTTCCTATTTCCCTCTATTCCCTTCAACCATTCTTTCCCTCCCAGTTTACAAAATTTTGTTTCCATTGTTTTCCTTTCACTCTTTTCTTTAAGCCCTATTCCTTCTGTCCATTCTTTCTAGAGTGAGATGGAATCTCAGTACTGTGTTAATTTGCATCGCTCAAATGACCAATGATGTTGAACATTTTTTTCGTATATTTATTTGCTACTTATAATTCATCATTTATGAAATAGCTGTTCATTTCAGATGCCCACTTTTCAACTGGGCCTTTGAATTTAAGGGGGGGTCTGATTTTTCTGAGTTCTTTATATATTCTAGATACGAGTCCTTTGAGTAATAGTAAAAGAATTTTCCTACACTGTGGGTTATCTCTTCATTTTCTTGGTCATTTCTTTGATGTTTGCACCTGTGAAAGTAAAGTCCCATTGGAAAATTCATGGTGCTTTCACCAAGAGACTGCCAGATTCTGGGGCTCATATATGTTAGAGTTAATATGACTTATTTGGCATAGGGTCTTTTTGAACCCAGGATCTCATGCATGGTAGGCAAGCACTCTACAGTTGCTCTATATTCCCAGACCTTTTAATTTTTTAATGTATTTTGAACTAGGGTTTTACTATGTTGTCCTGGCTGATGTTGAACTTTTGAATCTCCTGCCTCAGCCTCCAAAGTAGCTGATATTACAGGTGTGCATCACACTTAGTTTGATAGGAAGTCTTGTAAGAATGTTTGAGAGGTACATGCCTTAATCCCAGCACTCAGGAGGCTAAGGCAGGAGGATAACCAATGTTTGATGGCTGCCAGGGCTATAAAGTGAGTATAAGTCCAGCCTAAACTGCATAGTGAAATCCTGTCTCAGAGAGAGAGAGAGAGAGAGAGAGAGAGAGAGAGAGAGAGAGAGAGAGAGGTTTGAGAGGACTTCTAGAAAGATGGCAAAGTGGTAAGCAGCAGAGTAAACAGCCTCTGGATTTGGTGCCCAGACACTTGAGGAAGAAAAGAAGGAGGAAAGTGAGTGTCCAGGACCTAGGAAGCAGCTGAAGTAAGAATTGAAGCCCTCAGGGAGAATGAAGAGAGACTTTTATGAAGCAGAAGGTAGCAAGTGACACTTTCTTCCTGAGCCTTGACTCAATGTATATGAAAGGTGGTTCAAACCTGCAGATGAATGGTAAGTTCTGTGACTCTAGTAGCCTCCACAGAGAAATGCACCAGTGTAACAGAGCCGTGGATGCAAAAGATGGTATTGGCTGGTGAGTTACTCAGGTTCAGATGTCCCCTGGGTGTGCATGACTGGCCACTAGCCATCTTGGAGAGGGTGCAACTGAGCTCCGAACTCAGAACAGCTATGTGCGGCCTGCATCTAGCAGCTCCCAGAGTCAGAGTGAAACTGCCAAATTCAACTCAGCAGGAGGTCAGGGAGCTGAGTCCAAATCAGCAGGAGGCACAAAGAGTTACAGGCTGAGCAAATCAGCTTCCAGCTTCACAGTCAGAAACCAGCCTGAACATTAGTAGAACTGAAGGTGATGTCTTGCTGGGAT